ATATCCTGCTACCTTGCTATAGCTATTGATGATGTCTAGAAGCTTCTGAGTAGAGTTTTTTGGTCTTTAAGGTATAGGATCATGTCGTCTGCAAATAGGGATATTTTGACAGTTTCTTTACCTATTTGTATTCCTTTTATTCCTCTTCTTGCCTAATTGCTCTGGCTAGGAATTCCAGTACTATGTTGAATAGGAGTGGAGTGGGCATCCTTGTCTGGTTCCTGATTTTAGAGGGAATGGTTTAATTTTTCTCCGTTAAGTATAATGCTGGCTGTAGGTTTGTCATATATAGCTTTTATAATGTTGAGGAACTTTCCTTCTATTCCTAGTTTTCTTAGAGCTTTTATCATGAAATGATTGGTCTTATCAAAGGCTTTTTCTGCATCTATTGAGATGATCAAGTGGTTTTTGTCTTTGCTTCTGTTAATGTGGTTTATTACGTTTATTGATTTTCGTATGTTGAACCACCCCTGCATCCCTGGGATGAAGCCTACTTGGTCGTGGTGAATATTTTTGATGTGTTGCTGAATTCGTTTGCCATTATTTTGTTGAGGATTTTTGCATCAATGTTCATTAAGGAGATTGGCCTATAGTTCTCCTTTTTGGAGGTGTCTTTGCCTGGTTTTGGGATAAGTGTAATACTGGCTTCATAAAATGTGTTGGCAGTTTTCCTTCCCTTTCTATTGTCAGAACAGTTTAAGGAGGGTTGGTATCAGTTCTTCTTTAAAGGTCTGATAGAATTCAGCAGAGAATCCATCAGGTCCTGGACTTTTCTTTTTGGGGAGACTCTTGATTGCTGCTTCAATTTCATTTTGTGTTATAGGTCTATTCAGGTGATTAATTTCCTCTTGTTCAGTTTTGGATGATCATATGTATCTAGAAATCTGTCCATTTCTTTTAGATTTTCAAATTTATTTGAATATAGGTTCTCAAAGTAGTCTCTGATGATTTCCTGGACTTCCATGGTGTTTGTTGTTATCTCCCCTTTTGCATTCCTGATTCTACTAATTTGGGTTTTTTCTCTCCTCATTTTAGTCAGGTTTGCCAGGGGTCTATCGATCTTGTTTATTTTTTCAAAGAACCAACTTTTTGTTTCATTAATTCTTTGTATGGTTTTTTTGGTTTCTATTTCGTTGATTTCAGCTCTTATTTTTATTATTTCTCCTTCTATTTGTTTTGGGATTTGCTTGTTCTTGTTTTTCTAGGAGTTTGAGATGTATCATTAGGTCATTGATTTGGGATCTTTCAATCTTTTTAATATATGCACTCATGGCTATAAACTTTCCTCTCAAGACTGCCTTAGCTGTGTCCCATAGGTTCGGTAGGTTGTGTTTTCATTTTCATTGACTTCCAGGAACTTTTTAATTTCCTCTTTTATTCATCGATGATCCATTCTTCATTAAGTAATGAGTTATTTAGTTTCCAGCTGTTTGCATGTTTTTGTCTTTACTTTTGTTGTTGAGTTCTACTTTTACTGCATTGTGGTCAGATAGTATGCATGGTATTATTTCTATTTTCTTATATTTGCTGAGGCTTGCTTTGTGCCCTAGGATATGATCTATTTTGGAGAAGGTTCCATGGGCTGCTGAGAAGAATGTATATTGTGTAGAGTTGGATGAAATGTTCTGTAGACATCTACTAGGTCCACTTGATCTATTGCATATTTTAGATCTTGGATTTCTTTATTGAGTTTTTGTTTGGATGACCTATCTATTGATGATAATGGGTGTTAAAGTCTCCCACAACCACTGTGTTGGCGTTTATATATGCTTTTAGGTCTTTCAGGGTATGTTTGATGAAATTGGGTGCGTTGACATTGGGTGCGTACAGATTGATGATTATTATTTCCTTTTGGTCTATTTCCCCTTTTATTAGTATGGAATGTCCTTCTTTATCTCATTTGATCAATGCAGGTTTGAAGTCTACTTTGTCAGAGATAAGTATTGCTACTCCTGCCTGTTTTCGGGGGCCATTGGCTTGGTAAATCTTCTTCCAGCCTTTCATCCTAAGCATATGCTTATTTCTGTCGGTGAGATGAGTCTCCTGTAAGCAACAAATTGTTGGATCTTCTTTTTTAATCCATTTTGTCAAACAATGTCTTTTGATGGGTGAATTAAGGTCATTAACGTTAAGCGTTAGTACTGATAGGTATGTGGTGATTCCTTCCATTTAGTTGTCTTAGTTGTTTGAAGGTTTGATTGTGTGTACCTAACTTGATGTTACTCTCTACTGTCTTGCTTTTTCTTATCCTGTGGTTTGGTGCTGCCTGCCTTTTCATGGTTAAGTTGGGTGTCACTTTCTGTGTGCAGATCCCTTGCAGAATCTTTTGTAATGGTGGCTTTGTGGTCACATATTGTTTTAGTTTCTGCTTATCATGGAAGACTTTTATTGCTCCATCTATTTTGAATGATAGCTTTGCTGGGTAGAGTATCCTGGGGTGGAAGTTATTTTCATTCAGTGCCCGGAAGATCTCACCCCACGCTCTTCTTGCTTTTAATGTTTCTGTTGAGAAGTCTGCTGTGATTTTGATGGGTTTACCTTTGTATGTTACTTGTTTTTCTCTCTTACAGCCTTCAATATTCTTTCCTTAGTTTCTGAACTTGTTGTTTTAATGATGATATGTCGTGGAGTAGTTCTATTTTGATCTGGTCTGTTTGGTGTCCTGGAGGCCTCTTGCATTGTATGGGAATATCTTTCTCTAGATTGGGAAATTTTCCATTATTATTTTGTTGAATATATTACGCATTCCCTTCGCTTGCACCTCTTCTCCTTCTTCGATGCCCATGATTCTCAAGTTTGGTCTTTTGATGGAGTCAGTGAGTTCTTGCATTTTCTTTCACAGGTCTTGAGTTGTTTAATTAATAGTTCTTCAGTTTTTCCTTTAATTACCATTTCATCTTCAAGTTCTGAGATTCTGTCTTCTGTTTTTCTATTCTGCTGGATTGGCCTTCCGTTTTGTTTTGCAGTTCTGTTTTGTTCTTTTTTCTGAGGTTTTCCATATCCTGGCTGTTTTCTTCTTTATGTTGTCTATTTTTGTCCTGAGTTCATTTATCCATTTATTCATTGTGTTCTCTCTTTCACTTTGGTGTTTATACAGTGCTTCTATGGTTTCCTTTATTTCTTCTTTTGCTTTTTCAAATTCTCTATTTTTTGTCTTGGAATTTCTTGAGTGTCTCCTGTACATTTTGGTTGACCCTATCCAGTATCATCTCTATAAAATTCTCATTGAGTACTTGTAGTATGTCTTCTTTTAAATTATTCTTGTGGGCTTCATTGGGTCCTTTGGCATAGTTTATCTTCATTTTGTGGAGTCTGGATCTGAGTTTCTGTTCTCTTCATTCCCTCTGGTTCCTGTACTAATTTTTTGCTGTGGGGAAACTGGTTTCCCTGTTTTTTCTGTCTTCCTGTCATTGTCCTTGTGTTGTTACTGTCCCTGTACTGTGTGCAATTAAGTTTTCTAGCTTGTAATAATAACAATGGTAATATTTAGAATGGAAGAGTGAGCTGAGATGGAAAGCAAGAAGTTAAAGAAAAGGGGAAAACAAATATACAGACAAGAGGGAGAAAGCAGAACAAGGTATCAGACAAGAGTTTCAAAGGTATAAACAGTGTTAGTGTACTAATTGACAGTAAGCTGAACAGACATTAGAGAGACAGAGAGAGGATTGAAAATCAAAGATAAAAAAATAAAAAATAAGTAAATGAAAGTAATATCTATATATAAAAATGAATTAAAATAAAATGGAAAATAGAAATTAAAAAAAAAAAAAAACCAAAACTTCCAAGTTTATATGCAATGCAGTTTCAGTCTTAATAATTTGGGTGTCCGTCTCAATCTCCAGTCCTGGAGTTGGTGCCTCAGATGTTGTTCTGTAGTTGTGTCTCATCAAAGGGATGCATAAAGTAGAACAAAAACTACACACTCACACACACACACACACACACACACACACACACAACACACACACAAAAAGCCCACCAAGTCCCCAGTTCAAATGCAATACAGTTTCAGTAAGTTTTTTCGGCTTGCAGGTGTAATTCGGTTGTTTTCTCATCAAAGGTAGGGAGAAAAAGAAAAAAAAGCATCTGGAGACAGTTCTGAGAGTGGTATCTGCAACTGTGGCTTGCCTGCCTGCTGCTCTCAGCCTGTAGCTGCAGTTATTTATGCAGATCTCTGGGGTGAGCTAGCACTCACCTGGTCCCACAGGCTTTGTTTGCTCAGAGTTCTCCTTGCGGGAGCCTCTGCTACAGGCTTTCCCCTTTCCAAGCACGGGAAAGTGACACTGCCCCGCGTTGTCAGGCCTGCGTGTTTATTTACAGTTCATGTGGGAGTTGGGTCTTCCCCCCTCTCCTCTGAAGTTTTCCTCCCACTGCCACTTTCAGAAGCTTTCCTGCTCCTGCTTACTGGGCAGTGCTGCTGCTCCTGCCGGCCGCCATGTTCGTTTACAGTTCACGTGGGAAGTGGGTCTTCCCTCCTCTCACAAGCTTCCCTGCTTCCGCCAGAGGCTCTCCGGCCTGCCCGGCTTGTTATTACAGTCCCGGAAGATTCCCTTCCCCAATCTTCAGCGCTCAGGGCGCCCCACCCTCTTTCCAGCATGTCTTAACTGTTCTTATTGCTTATTACTCAGTTTCTCTTTTTTTCCTGGGTGGAGGTCAGTCTGTCCAGGGGGCTATGCTGCTCTGGCCCAGGCTTGTCTGTGGGGCTACCGCAGTACCGTGAAGCTCACCTGGTCCGCGTCTTCCCAAGCCGTATGGGCGCCGGCCACTGGCGGCCCCGGGGGCCCTCCTCGTTTCTCCGTTTAACGTGAAGTGGAGATTCTCTGCACCATCATCTTTTTCTGTTAGCTGGACTTTTCAACATTTTTGGGAGGAATATATTCCAGGAGGTGGAGGTTCAGAGGTCCATTCTGAGATTATAGGAATTGTGAGAGTGTACATGGGTTAAGAATACAAAAGATGGACTTAAGTAGGCAGGAATCCCAAGGAAAACTGCAGGATAGGTAGAGTGCAGTATAGTGACTGAGTTTGTATATGGCAGCTGGTGGCATGTGTGTTAGGTGGTCTGAAAAATTCAACATCTGCTTCTGTGCAATATTGTTGATGACTTTACTTTTATTGGTGCAGTCAAAACATCCCCAGGAACTTCAGAGTTATGTATCCAATGGAGTCTTGGTCATCTATCTGCTCAGACACCCAGTGAGCATCTCAACAGAGCTATTGTTGACTAATATCCAAATGCCTTCCTCATAATTTTCCACCCATCCCAGTAGTTAACTTTTTGCCCTCTCTAATTGAGCTTCCTTCGTGATCCTCTTTTCCTGTCACTACAATACTGCTCTGTCACCAAATCAAATCATTTCTATCCTTAAAATATCCCTGAAATCCAGGCCCTTCTTTAATCCCCATCAACAAAGTGTCATGCCAAGATCGGACAGCCACCCTACTACCTTGTTCTCTGTTTACCTTTCCACGTCCACCTGGCTTCTGAATCCATTAACACACAGAAAACCCAATCTTTATTTAAAACAGGCACATTACTCATGGCTAGTCAATCCCTTTGTGGGTCATGTTATTGCCTTTGACCCTTCTGTGAGCTTCTCACAGTCTTCATTTTCTGACCATGACAACCCCTCCTGATCTCTGATCCATATTCAGGGAACAGCCTCCCTGTGTATCTCACTTATCCTTTCTGCATGTCTGTCATTCTGTCTCTCTCTTATCTCTAATCGTTGTTTCTGTTTACCACTGCCTGAGAGTAATACCCCATGTGCCTCAGAGGACCTGTGGTTTTCTTATCCTTTGGGTCTCATCTTCCCAAATTAATCCATTTGTGATTCTTTTTGGGTTTGTTTGTAAGAACAGCTGGGAACTCTGTTTTATGGAAAATTTTAAAATGACAATAGAGTATGGTCAGCTATAGAAGTGGGCTGGGTAGTAGCCAGGATGGAACACTTCTGCCTTTTGAAAATAAGGACATCAGTGTTCGTGTGTGTGTGTGTTGTTTTTTTCCTCTTGTTTTCACCTGAGTGACTTTCATTATTTTTAATGATATCAGCTCCTGGCTAAGAAACTTCATTCATCAGGTGTTTTTTGTTTTGCTTGTGGCCAGACTTTGTTGTGTGTACTTGGCATAGGGCCTTGAATATCCAGATGTCCTTGGGCTCTAACTGAAGCAAAATAACTTTAATAAATGAATCATTATAATATGTTCTTTGTTGGAAGGAGGTGAATGCTAAGGGTACTAAGTCCTAGATTTTGTGGAAGTTGCAGTGGTAGTAGTGGGTTAGAGAAACCCACTGGGTAACCCTGGGTTAGAGAAATATTCTGAGGGAGAGGCTAGAGCCATTTGGGGAGAAAGACCTTGAAGGGAAGAGGAGCTGACTGTCCTGACATGATCTTGATTGTGTTCAGTATGTGTACAGTGATGGGAAAGTGTGAGGGATGAGGTCAGAGGTCACACTCGGGTCACACAGAGCCTTGTTGATCAGGCACAATGTTCACATGTTTTGTCAGTGAGTGAAGGTCCTGGAGGCTATTGGTGGAGGACCTAATTGATCCTGTTGTTTATATAAGACTCAAGGCCTTAGTGTGAATGTGAGAGTGGGGAATGGGTTATGGCTTATGTAGAAGAAGACAAAATCAGACATAGACCAATGATCCGATGATACCCAATGTCTCCTGGCCCCAGCACTAGTTATACTGGAGGTGATAAATCAGTCAACTCACAGGACTTTTGTCCAGGCTTGGTGGGAATGAGGAGAAAAACCAGTCTGTACAGTACAAGGAAAGATAGTTATTCCTACATTGGCAGGGAAGGCTGAAGGTAAGTTAGGTGTTTTGAATATTCCAGAGCTCAATTTTGGACATAATTGGAACTTACCATTGGAGGTAACTGTTTTATGGTTGGTGAACTAGTATGGGTCCAGATGAAAGGTGTGTGTATGTGTATGTGTGTGTGTGTGTGTGTGTGTGTGTGAGTGTGTGTGAGTGTGTGTACATAGTCAATTTGTGAATCTGTAGACATCCACAAACGGAAACAGGTGAAATATATATGGATAGGTGACGAAATATACTCACACTTGATAGATTATGGAGATAGACATATAGCAGATAGGTGATAGGCAGATGATAGAAGGTAGAGTGTGTATTTGCAGAAAAGAAAAACTAATTGAAGGACCCAGCCCAGGGACACTCCACAGTGTAGTGCTTTGGAATGTGACAGGAAACAGCCTAGTAATGGAGACAGCATGTTCAGTGCAGTTAGGAAGTATGTGGCTCCTGGAAAAAGTATGAAAGTCTCATGTTTCAGGTTGGGTGGTGTCACATATTGAAACACATTCAGGTCTCATAAATGACCCCAAATTCTAGATGAGGGACAAACATCCCTCTAATGCCAACAGCTACTATTCTGATGTGTAGTGCCCAAGATTCACTCACAGGGGTCACAGCTCAGAACCTGGGCCCTAATTCCTCCCCACAGGTTAGCCACTTTAGAGCCTCATGGGAACAAGGGCCTCTTGATATTAGATGATTGGGTTCTGCTTCTGTTTCCCTCCAGGGTTATCACCCCAGCCTCCATTCTGGGCAGTGCTGCAGCACAGTGATTCCACAAGGGAGTTCTGTGACCATCTTCTGCAGTATCCCTCCAGGGTGACAGCATTGCATCTAAATCATGCACAACTCAAAGGAAGCACATATGATCACAATCAACAGGGAACCCAGAAGGTGACTGAGTTCTCCTTCTCCATTGTGACAGACATCAATGTAGGCATTTACCACTGTGACTACTGGAAGCATGATGTCTGGTTAGGTTGCAGTAGACCATTGGAGCTGGTAGTGACAGGTGAGGGATAGTCCAAGGACACTGTCATGCAGCCTTGGATCTTGCTGCCCATCTCACTGGATCAGATGTACCAATCACAAGCCCTGCCCTTTATCTTTGCCTCCTGTGTCTGGGTCGCACCTTCCCTCTGCTCTGAGCTTGGTCCTAGCTCCATTCAGCCAGGTGGGCTACTACTGCATCAAAGAGAAGAGCCACTTGGAGACAGATCCTAGCCTTCCCTATACACAGATAGCCACATTCTGGTCCTTGTCATAGAAATAATACATATGTGTTTTTATCTTTATGCTCTCTAAGTTAGCAAAGAGTGATTTCCTTCTTGGCTTCATCCTCCCTTGGTCATGTCTGATTATAAGAATGCTGAGTTATTTTAATTATGTTTTTAATAGCATGGTGTATTCACTTCCAGATACTGACAATGTCAAACCTTCCCTGACTGCTCATCCAGGTTTCCAGATGGCCTAAGGAGAAAATGTGACTCTCATCTGTGACACACATTTTTACTATGATATCTTCATTCTATGTAGAGATGTAGTTGATTCCTTCCCTCAGAATTGTTCAAATCAGACCCACAAGACATTCCTCATCTTCCCTGTGAGGCCATCCCATGAAGGGACCTATAGATGGTATGTGTCTACTATATACAATCTCCACATCTGGTCAGTGCCCAGTGACACTCTTGAACTTTAAGTCACAGGTGACTTCTAATATGAGCAACTTTACCTTGTCCCAGGGTTTCCTAAGGTGTTTCTGGTGAGGCAGCTTGACCTCATGTGCCTGTCTGCTATGTGGTTATTTGGTTGTATACCATCCCACTACTCCTGCTAAAGTCTGTATTTGCATTATAGGCCCTGAATATTGCTGTGCTCATTATGCAATTGGGGGCAGAAATAGTCAAATTCTTTTGGGGGAGGCCTGTCCTTACCTGTCTATGAAATAGGCTCTATGATCTAGTGGATCACTAGCCTTTGGGAACCAGCATAACAGGTGAGATACTGCTCAGTTACTGCTGTATCACCTCCAGAAGCCCCTCCCACAGCCCATCCTTCTGTATGTGGGTGGGTGACAGCAGGCACATTGTGAACTTTTGGGACAGAAAGGTCAAAAGTGTCTCTACCAGTTTCTCCATTCAGGATGGCTTTCTGAATCCCTGTGTATTCTACTACATTAAGTGGGTGATTCTGTGACTCTAGTGCCTCTGTTCAGTCCCCAGTCCAAAGGAGAAAACAGAAGGACATTTACTGAATACTCAAGAGGAATTTATGATCAGATCCTGTAGAGCTATGAAGGCAGGCATCAGCTCAGCCTTCATGTTGGGCATGGGTCATATTATGTAAGCCTTATTTTTTCCAGTTAACTGGGACTTTTCAGGGACTTGGGGAGGGGATATGTTTGAATTAGGTGGAGGCACAGAGGCACATTCTAGGATCTGTAGGAAATTATGAAAATGTGCACAGGTTAAGGATGGAAATATGGACACCAGGAGGCAGGAATCCCAAGGAAGAAATGTTAGGGATAGGTAGTGTAGGGCATGGTGCATGACTGGAGTTTGTATATGAGCAGCTTTGGGCACAAGTGTTGGGTGGTCTGACATATTTAGACATCTGCTTCTGTGCAATATTCATTGATGACTTTTAACCCCAGTAGCTTCATAGTTATGTATCCAATGGAGTCTTGGACATTTACCTCCTCAAACACCCAGTGAGCATCTCAACAGAGCTCTTATGGACAAATATCCAATGCCTTCCTCATACTTGTCCACCCATCACAGTGGACACCTTCTGTCCTCTTAACGAGTGTCCATAAATGATCCTCTATTACTGTCACAGTCCACAATCTCTTCACCAAATCAAATCATTTGTATTCTTAACATCCCTGAAAGCCAGTCTGTTTTTTATCCCATCATCACCAAGTGTGGTACCAAGATCCCCCAACCATCCAGTTACCTTGGTCTATAATTGTCCCTCCACTTCAACATGGCATCTTCAATGCATTTGTCACACAGAAAACCCATTTTTTTCTTGGAAACAGCACAGTTCTCATGGTAATCATTAAGGTGTTCTCCATGTGCTTCTTATTTCTCACAGGTGACACATGAGCCATTGGCTCCATGTTAAGTGTTGTTTCTTTCCACCAGAGTCTTCACTCTCAGATTACAGAACAGAGAGTGTCACCTGGTTGAGTGTGGCTGGCCCTATCCTGCTTGCCCTTGGATCTGTATTGCTGGACACTTGGAAGAGCAGAAGAAGACTGAGAAGTGCATCCAGAGAGCCCTAGGGCAAGTGTCTTCCATATTCTTTGTAGTCTTCATCAAAATGCTGGAATAAAGAATCTTAAAGGTCTTGTGGTCTCCCCATTCTGTGTTCAGTGTCTGGAAATGGGGTTGATTCCTCATGATACGGCAGGGATTTCATGACTCATGTACTGTGCTCGGAGGAGAGGTTCCTATAGTGCCAGAGCTTTGTCTCCCTTTTATCTTCTTGATACTCTGTGACTTCATTGTGTGATGCCCTTTTCTCTCTTATGAATCCTTTGTTGATCTTTTTGCACAGCAGTGTTTCTTCTTCCTCCTTCTCTGTTCTCCTATCTCACTCTTTCCTGTTCCCTCATTACACTTCCTTGTCATTGACCCTATGAACCACATCTCATTGCTTCACTTCAGCTTTCACAGTTAGACTAGAACACCAATTTTATATCATTCCCTGCTTCTCTCTTGCAAAATCAAGATCAGGATCTCAACATTGATAGATAGGATGCAAAATCAGTCCAGATTTATAGCCTGTTTGGCATTTTGCCTTCATAACACCACATGAAGCAATCATTTCTGAAGAAGGAATCCACAGATTCTGGGGAACTTGCAAATTAGAGACAGAGAGCACTTCCCTGTGTCTCCATGAACCTGAAACAAAAAAAGAGAAAAATCAAGTGTGTGGATTAAAGAGAGACAGATGTTTTGGAAAGGCAAAATAGGGCCCAAGTAAAACAGTGAACAGGACCAGGTGAAATGAAGGATTATTCAACTGTAGATTTATAAAAGAAATAGCAGAAAATAAATCTAGCTCTAATCAAAATAATACAGAAAGGTCAGAATCCCCACCCCACCCCAGAGTGGTTGTAATGAGAAGGGGAAGCGAAACACCAGTGATGCACCGTGTGACACACTGAAAAGATGACATTTAATATGGGAGATCTGCACACCTAACAGCTAGAAGAGGTCAGAGAAGGGTGTCCTGATTTTCTTAATTTGCTCATGGTGTGTGGGAGGGAAAATCAACCTTAGGATTTGACTTACTGCCCAGTGTCTCTGCTGGGGAGTGCAGAAGACACAGAATTTTATATTATCCAGCCCTAAAGACCTTCCACCCTCCACTGGGTAGACAAGTGACCACACCAAGAAGAAAACAGGAAAAAATCCAACAAATATATAGGAATCAGCAACTGCATCTCAGAATCATCTGATATATAAATATTCTTAATTTTCTAATTAAAGGCCACAGATTGGATGATTGGACTAAAAAGAAAATCAAAGTGTTTTGGTGTGTTAGGAAAGACACAGACTCAAAGTGAATGGAAGGAAAATGATGTAGCAAGTAAGTGGAAGGAGAAAGTAGCATGGGCAACTATACCCATATGTGATAATCCTTTAAGACAAAATTAGACAGAAGAGATAAAGAAGGTCAACAAATACTTGTAAAGTAATGATACATCACTAAGCATTGGTGAAACCAAATCCATAAACACGCACTTCTGGAGATAAAAGGGTAGACAAGTTGGGTCTAATAGCAGTGAGTGACATTAAACCCACTCTTATCAGTAGAAGCACCTTATAGACAAAAAACAACATAGAGTTACTTCTGAGATAAAACTAAAGCACGGATCAAATGGAGTGAAAAGATATCTACAAAATATCCTATTTAATGACTGTAGAATACATGATCTCAACCGCTTATGCAACATTCTCTAAAACAGATCACATTTTAGGCTAGGAAGCAAGTCTGAACAAATAAAAAAATTTGAAACATTTCAAATAATTGTTTGAAACATTATTAAATTATAATGAAATAAATAATGGTATGATGACAACAGTCTCTGCCACCTGATCTTACCACCATAGTGTTCTGAGTTGGCACATGGGATAAAACAACCATGCACTGAACCCTCTAAATAAATTTTCCTCCTTTAAGTTATTCTTTTAGGAATTTTCAAAACAGCAATACAAAAGTAACTAATACAGCAGTGAGCAAAATAATGACAGCTAACTTCTGCATTGATATTGTAGTTCACGTTCTATTTTTCTTTTTGGTACTGGGGCTTGAACTAAGGCCTATACTTTTACTCACTCCACCAGCCCTTTTTTTGATGGATTTTAAAAGATAGGGTCTCAGGGACAATTTTCTGTGGCTGGTTTTGAACTATGATCCTCCTGATCACTGCCTCCTGAGCACTTAGGATTCTAGGCGTGATCCACCAGTGCCCAGCTGCTGACTTTCTGTTGTAATGAAAGATTTTATACATGGGGAAAAGGTCTGCAGACCATATAGGGTGAGGTGTTAATTTTCTGGATGTAAAACAGTGGATTGCCATGATGGTTAATGAGGCCTTACAGAAGAAAGGGATCCTGTCAGGATCAAAGACACCTTCTGTGATTCAAATGAATTCTTTGCCTGTGATTACACCATCCTCATAGCAGAGGAGTGATGATGGAACCTTAGGATGGCATAGGTGAAGGTGTGACCATCTGCCCCACATGGCTGTTTTTTCCCCTCAGAGTTATGATGTGAAAACATAATCTCTTGTGCATCATGGGGTCTAAGTGATCCATCCCAAAGTCCTAATTTCCACACAGGAGCATGATCTAATTTCCATCACCAGGTGTGTGGTCATCTGAGGGTGCTGTATTCTGCTTATAGCTTGATGTCTCTTGAATTTCCTGGCCTCAACTCTCAGCACCAGTGGAAGTGACAGTGCAAGCCTTGGATGTGCTGATCTGAAGGGATTGGTAGAGATGGCTTTATTGGTGTCCCTGCTTGGGCAACATGACTTCAGCCCATATCCGTAGCCAAATCACATCACTCATCCTTGGATTCTGCCCCTAAGAGCTAGGTCCTGATCAGTCTTGTGAGTGCAAATCTCTGGCAATGGCCAATCTTGTTTACTTCCTTCTTTTTTGGTGCCACCACTTAATATAGCCTGTCACCCATCACCTGAAAGTAGCATTTTTTATATTGTGCCCTCCTTCCACCTTTGTTAGTGAGGGGGTAAATTTTGAAGGCAAAGTAAATGTTCTTAAAAATTTTTATAAGTTTGCATCCACTACTTTGTGGTTGTTGCTTTTGTTTGTAAGAACCCTGAAGACTTCTGTTAATGGGAACATTCCTTTTAAAAAAATTTTATTATGATATGTTTATTGTACAGAGGAGATTCACTGTGACAGTTCTAATAGGCTGGTATTGTACATTGGTTAGATTGCCCACAGTCTCTCCTCCTTGACCTTCTCACTACCTACTTACAGCAAGTGCAAGAGGTTTCATTCTTCCATTTCATGTAAGTCTATGAAGTCCATCAACCTCATCCTCTCAACTTTACCTCCCTCGATCACCCTCCCCTGTCCCACAAATACTCTGCCTATCTGTGATGGATGCTGAACTTGAGTTTGGAAGACTTAACATTTGTCCAGTTGGGTTTTGGTCTTGCTTTGGTCCCATTCCTCCATGCTCTGCCTCTGTGACTCCCTTTTGGATGGGAATGGTTACACTGAGACATTGCGTGTTGTAAGTATCTAATTTCCCTTTTGATTTCCAGGGACACACAGCTAAGAGTTTGTCTTGAGTCTGAGATGGGAATTTTGAAAATTTTGGAACTGTTGAGGCTTTGGGGATTCCTGCAGATGGAGGAATATATATATATCACAATATATTATGAGAATTTGGGGGTCAGGATGAGATGTTATGTTTTGAATATGAAATGTCCTTTCAGGCTCACGTGTTGAACGCTTAGTGGTTACATTTTTGGAGGTAGAGGAAACATTACGGAGTTTTACTTAGCTGGATAAAGTTTGTCACTTTGAAGATTTTATGTGGTCCTCAGTCTCTTCCTCACTCTCTGCTTCTTGTCTACCTGGAGGTGAGTAGACTCTGGCACATGTTCTGTCACATGTGTGTCACATGTGTGTCAGATCAGCAGAGCTATGATGAGCTGAAACCTAAGCATGTGTGAGCCCAGTGACTCTTTGTTCCCTTCAGTTGTTCTGCTCAGATATTTTGTAACCTTGATGCAAACTCATTCACATGACAAGTCTTCAAGAGTCCTAATACACATGGGCTAAATGAAGGTTCACAAGCATCCCAAGGACAAGACAGCTCCCATTCTAACAGAGTAAAGATGATTGCCCATGGGGACACTTTTGGTGAGGACATAACCTTTGAGGTGCAGCATGTCAGGGGATTTTCCCTGTTAAACACATTGTTTGGTGTGATTGACATATAGACAGCTGTACATATTTAATGTTCTGTGTTAGTGAGACTTTTCATTGAGTGCTTAATACCAGAAAGACATGATTTGAAGGAGCAAAGTTTATTTTGGGTTCTGTTTTTCACAAGATTCAGCACATGGTTCTTTGGTCCCATAGATTTGGATTGAAGTGAGACCAAACATCATGACATAAACCCATGGTGGAGTAAAGCTGCTCACCTCATGGCAGCCTGGAGCAGGGAGAAAGGAAGGAGCTGGGCACTAGATATACCCAACAAGTCAAACCTCCAGTGTCCCATTTCTTTCCATTGGCCCACCTCCTAGTTCCCTTTGTCTCTCAATAAAGTCATAAAATTTGAATCTACCAATGTATGAATCATAGACTAGATCAGAGATCTGATTGTTGATTCACTGCCCAAACCTCAGCACTGACCACTTCATTTCAGACTATGCCTTCACCCCATGAGACTTTGGGAAACTTTTCATACCCAAACATTATCATGGTTACATTTTGATGAGTTCCTGGATTAGTACATGTGAATGATTTCCTCACCCTCAACGACAAATCCATAGTTTTCCAAAGTTGACTCTCACCCTTTTATGATTATTGTTGGTTTTGTTTGTAAAAACCCTGAAAGTTCTGTTAATGGGAAACTTTAAGTGTACTATAGAGTATGGTCAGCTGTGGACAATGGGCTGTGTAATAGATCAAACATGTTATTTCTTCAAACAACATGCAATTTCAAGTGTACAAAGTGGTCTCTTCCAGCTGAGTAGCTATAGCTTACGCCTGTAATTATAGCTATATGTAAGCTGAGATTGACTGGATCTCAGTTCAAGGCCAATCAGGCAATTAGTTTGTGATAGCCCACCTCCAAAATAGCAGAGTATGGCTCAAGAGGTATAGGAACTTCTTGCAAGCATGAAGCATTGAGTTCAAATCCCAGTCCCATTCCCCTGAATTGGTATCACCAGCTGTGGGTACTGAATGGTGCAGTAGAATCAGGAATTTCCCCAACAGAACATGAACACATTACACAAGAGTTGAGCCTCAGAGAACATCACTGGTCCTGCTCTTCCCTATTCCATATTGTCAAATCTGCTTTCTGCCCATGGTATAACCCAGAATGGCCACAATATTCTGGTGGTTTAAACATGTGCCCTTCATTCTTTCTGGATGCATTTCACCATCTAATGCCTCCTCTGCTCTCACAGGATATATGCAGGTTCTAGTGGACAGCATTACACCCCTCTCTTGCCTTTGTGGCTGTAAGGTCAAAGCAGGAAGCACACAGAGGAACTGGTCTCTTGTCCCAGGCATGTGGTGGAGTATTGATGGGCAGAGCCTGCCATTGCGTAGGAGCAGCTTCCCTTCTAGTTCCGTGTCTGACGTCAGCCTCCTGTGTCAAGGGTCTGAATCGTTATTATTTTCTTTAGCGTGTACTGCTGTGAAGACTTGGTGAGCAGTTGGCTGTGCTGATTGTGGGGATCTGGACAGGGCACAGTGATGGTGTCTGAGGTCACTCTGCTGCTTGGATTAGGTGAGTGCTTCAGGGCATTAGTTAGTGGCCGGAGGGATAAAAATAAAGAACACCAAGGTTAATTTTCTGGGTTCTTCTCCTGGTTCATTTCTCTGTGATGTCCTGGCAAGGTGGCTGCTGAGAAGTCACATCTCTCTCCCTCTTCTCTGTCTGATGTGTGTGTGCTCTTGGGTCAGTGCACAGGGTCTGTTAATTGAAGGGCAGACTCTTCTCACTGGGTCTTTCTCCATTACAGTGATTTTTCTGGATCAGAGAACCTGGGCACACAAGGGTGAGTTTTTCCTTTTGTCTGTCCTAGACAGGTCTGAGTTTGGCTTGTTTGAGTGTGGGAGTAGCTTGAGGCATCTTGAGCTGATTGTGAGTTTGAAGCTACTCTGATTTGCCACCCTCACTCTCTACTTCACCCTTGGCTCTTGCTGTGGCATCTATCCTGGGATGAGTCTACCCAGTGTGCTGATACTGCCCAGAGGACACCCAGCTATGGTGGACATTGACAATGCTGATTCAGAGGATGGGGACACATCTGCCATTGGTATTAGGACACCAGTGTTTATGTGTATGTTGCCTTTTTCTACCTGCTTTCATCTGTGCTATTTCCACGTTTATGACTGATATTAGTTCCTGGGTAAGAAACTGCATTCACAAAATAGGTTTTAATTCAATGTAGACTTTGTCTTTTGCTGATTCTGTGTCCTACTTCAATCTAGTGTTTGGCACTGACCCCTTTCCTCTTTTCAGTGATCATATAGTGGAGTGTTGCTCCATTCAGACACAGTTCTTGTGAATGAGTGTGCAGTGCTTTCTTTCATGGATTTATCATGCAAAGTTTGCCATTGGGTAACATTCACTGTGTTTTCACATTGGAGGCAGTGTTCTCAGCTCAGTATGTAGATGATAGTCAGTATGTAGATGATTTTTCTTGTAACTCCTAGAGCTAAGTTCATATTTTTGGACAGAAATTGGCTATGTAACCCAAGATGGATTCAGACTGATTGTATGCCTGCCTAAGCCTCCTCAGTGGTAGGATTGCAGGCACATGTCCCCACACCCCACTGAATTTATTCTGAATCCAGATGTGTTTGGTTCTGGTGTGGCCACACATTGTTTTGTGTTGTAGGCATGGGGCCTTTAATACCCAGAAATGCCCTTGGCCTCTAATTGAAGAAAAATAGCATTAATAAATGTGTTTTGTTGAGAGCAGGTAAATGCTAAGGGTAGAAAGGCATTGATTATGTGTTTTAGGGAATGTTGCTGTTGTAACAATTGTAGCAATGGAAAGTGTTTCAGTACCCTGACTTGGAGAAAAACTTGAGGAAGAGACTAAGACCACATGGGGAGAAACATCTGCCAGGGAAGAGGAACTGATCACCCTGATGAAAAGTTGACTGTGGTCAGTATGTGTGCAGTTATTGCGAATGGGTGAGGGATGAGTTCAGAAGTCACACTCAGGCCACACAGAGTCTTGTTGACCTGGTGACAGAGTGTTCGCCTGTTCTGTAAATGAGAGCTGAGGCCCTGGAGGTTATGGTTGAAAGAATGAGTTGGTTCACTTTTTATATAGGACTCAAGGCCTTAGTGTGAGAATGGAAGTGAGGAATGGGTTAGAGCTTATGTGGAAGAGACAAAGTCTGACATAACCAATGATCCAATGAGACACAATGTCTCCTGGCCTCAGCTCTTAGTACACCAGTGGTGATAAATTGGTTCACTCACAAGATTCATTTCTAGGCTGGATGGGAAAGTAGGAGAGAAAGCAGACAGTAAAGTGTAAGGAAAGATAGCAATTCCTACATTGGCAGGGAAGGCTGAGGTTTTTGAATATTTCATGAACTTAATTTTGAACATAATTGGAATTTCCCATTGGAGGTGACTGTGTTATGGTTGGGTGAATTATATGGAGTCCAGATGAAGTATGTGTGTGTGTGTGTGTGTGTGTGTATACATAGATGACTTGTCAATCAGCAGACACACACACAGAAACAAGTGGTTGATAAGACTATTGACAAAAATATACTCGCACTTGATACATTGTGATGATTGGTGGGTAGATGATAGATAGGTGATTGTCAGATGATTGTAGGTATTCGCAATGGACTAAGAAGTGTTTTTGTAGAAAATAGAAACTGATTGAAGGTGGAGACCAGGGTCTCTCCACAGTGGAGTTGTTTGGAGATAACAACAAACAGCCAGGAAATGGCGACAGCATGTTCAGGGGAGACAGGAAGAGTGTGGCTCCTGGAAGACAGAGGAAGTCTCACATTGCAGGCTGGGCGGTGTCACACATTGATGACACATTCAGGTCTCATAATGACCCCACCTTCCAGGTGAAGGACAGATGTCCCTCCACTGCAAGAGTTAGTCTTCTGCTGTGGAGTGGCCAAGATTCAAACTGAGGACACACAGCTAAGATCCTGGACTCTAACCCTTAGGTTCATCCATTTCAGGGCCTCTTGGGAACAAGGGCCTCCTGACATCAGATGATTATGGTTACGGTTATGGTTTTGTTTCCCTCCAGAGTTATCACCCAAGCCCTCCATCTGGGCAGTGCCGAGCACAATGATTCCACATGGGAGTTCTGTGACAATTTTCTGCAGTATCCCTCCAGGGGTAACAGGACTGCGTTTACATCATGTACAACTCACAGGAAGTGTGTATGATCGTAATCCACAGGGAGCCCAGAAGGTGGCTGAGTTCTTCTTACGGACTGTGACAAAGATCAATGCAGGCATTTACCACTGTGACTACTGGAAACATGAATTTTCAGGACAAGGTGACTCAATGGAGCTGGTAGTGACAGGTGAGGGATAGACCAAGGACACTGTCATGCAACCTTGGGTTTTACTGCACACTTCACTGGACCAGATGTATCCATTACAGGTCCTGCCTTGTGTCTTTACTTCCTATGTCTGTTCTGACTTTGGTCTCAGAACCATTCTGAGAGATGACTGTGACCTCCAGAGGATGAACCTCTTGGGGAGAGATCCCAGCCTTCTCTATACACAGAAAGCAACATTCTTGTCCTGGTCATGACAATAATACACGTGTACTTTTTCCTTATGATCCCTGTAAATTAGCAAGGAGTGAATTTCTTTTTGGCTTCATTCTTCCTTCTGTCAGGTCAGACCATTAGGAATGGTGAGTTAGTTTAACAATGGTTTTCATAATTGACTACATTTATTTCCAGATGCCTACAACAACAAACCTTCCCTGACTGCTCATCCAGGTGTCCAGTTGACCTCAGGAGGAAATGTGACTCTCGTCTGTGACATACCTAGTTATTACTATGACCTCTTCATTCTGTGTAGAGACAGAAGAGCTTCCTTATCTCAGGACTGCTCTAATCAGACCCACAAGACATTCCTCATTTCCCCTGTCAGCCTGTCCCATGGGGGGACCTACGTATGCTATGTGTCTACTGTATTCAATCGCCATGTCTGGTCACTGCCCAGTGACCCTGTTGAACTTTCAGTCACAGGTGAGTAATGTCTGATAATAGCACCTTTACCTTGTGTCAGGGTTGTCCCAAGGTGTTACAGGGGAGGCAGTTCAACTTCAAGTGACGGCATGCTACGTGGGTTGAGGGTTGTATTATGTCGCATCCCTCCTGTCTAAAGCCACTGGATTTGCTTTATAAATCCTGAATATTGATATGTTCATTATGCAATTTTGGGGCAGAGATAGTCAAATTATTTTGGGGGAAGAGAAGTCCCTATTTGTCTTTGAAAGAAGCCCTGTGATGTAGTGGTACCATTGGGATCGTGCATGACAGTGAGGTATTGCTCAGTTACTGCTGTATCACTTTCTGAAGCCCCTCCACCAGTGCTCCCTCTTTCTATATGAAATGGTGACAGCGGCACATTGGTAAATTGTGAGGCAGAAAGGTCAAAACTGTCTCTGCTAGTTTCTTCATTCTTAATGTCTTTCTGGATCTCTGTGTCTCCAACAACATTTAGTGGGTGATGCTGTGACTGTAGTACTCTGAACAGTCCCCAGACCAGTGGAGGAAGCCAAGGACATGTACAGAATGCCCAAGAGGGATTTAGGGTCATATCCTGCAGAGCTGTGAAAGGAGGCAGCTCAGCCTTCTTGTTAGATAGGGATCAAGTTTCATAAGCCTCATCTTTTCCTGTTAGCTGGGACTTTTCAGCATTTTGAGGAGAGGATATGTTCCAAGCAGGTTGAGGCACAGAGGTACAGTCTGGGAGTTATAGGAAGCTATGGGACTGTGCACATGTTAAGGATGGAAGTGTGGACATAAATAGGCAGGGATCCCAAGGAA